CTCTTAAATGTGGAGTATGTCAACTATCACGCGTCACAGGTGCTTAAGAGCGAACTTTAGGACAACCCGTCATATGCGAACTCGTGGGCATTCTAAGAGTTGATTGCGATTTATTAATGCGGATCTTAAGTCAATTAAATAAAATGTTTGTTAGGGCCTCTTCCACTATCTCCTTTTAAACTGGTTTTAAAAGTCACTTTGAAATTAGTTTTGTGCTTCACGTCCTTAACGATCCTTAAACCCTAAAACTGTTATAAGAACATGGAACGTAAAGTTTATTTTAAAAGTGACTTTTGTGAAAAGTCAGTTTAAAAAGGAGATGGTGGGAAAGGCCTTCAGTGGATTTCAACAAGAGTAACTTAGTTATCATTAAATGTTACCAATCAGATTAAACAAGTTTCATAGTTAATTCAAGTAAATGAATTTGATCATCACCAACATTATATGGTTCAAATGTAACAAGTTATATGTTGAATTTATTAAGCTGAATCAGTTACTACAATCATTTCTATGTTAGTACTGATCATGGTCTTAGTCGAATTTGTTAAAGTGAATTAGTTATTATAATAATTTTCTTGTAGACATTGATCAGGTATTAGTTAAATTTATTAAGATAAATTAGTCGGTATAGCTATTTTTATATTAATATTGAATAAAATCTAAATTGTTTTAGTTAACTAATAATAATAAGAGCTATTCAGTTGAATAGTCTATTGAATAATGATATTCAATCAAAATCATCTTATTTGAAGTGTCAAAGATCTCGTTAGTCTGTATGGAATCAAGATACTTGTCCTGGGAATTACAATTTTGTTAGAAGCAACCAATTTTTTAGAGTGTAATAGTCAGCAACCCTCGCTATCGACCGTCAATGTCAATTGTTGTCGCTGTACATATTTTTTATTATAATTCACAAAGCTTGACGCATAGGTACGTTGCGTCGTGGTAGACATACTTTTTCAAGAGAAAAACTCGCACTTTTGCTAACCTACAAAATTATAATGAACTCAATGTTGGCACCAAAGTAGGTGAATGGTTATATATATGTACAATTTTTATATTGCTATTTTATTGATAGAAAAGAAAGACTTTGCGAGAAATCGTTTGCGCCATCTCGGAGCAGAGCCAGCATTGCTGCGCGGGTATTTCAGGTGGAAATTGGTTTTGCTTAAGATAATCGTTACCGTTTTAAAATTTTCTGAGCACCAATTACGTTTTTGCAAAATTATCTTTACGTTATCTGTTGTGTAAATGTGTGACAGTTTACTAGCATTTATTTAATCAATCTCAAGTCATAGGGTGACCTACATAACTATAAGAAATAAAATAAATTTACTCAGTCTGAATATTTAATGTTATCAGAGAAACGTCCATTAATTAGTGAGTTTAAAATGGGAGGTTCGGCAAATTATCACAAATCTAATTTTAGTGCCAATGCAAAATCGATCAACATACGGTTGAAAAATTTTATCTCTCTGTGTAAATCGTTATATTAAATTTGTAGTTCGTCCACCGGAGCTCACTGCTAGATCACTTTTGTTGCACAAAGAGGTACTCGAGACGATTTACGAGGGGAGACGAGACCGATGAACGTCGGAGAGTTTACGACGATTCTCTGTTGTCTCTTCGGATCGTCGAGAGAGCTTTCGAAAAACATCGGCGAATGCTCAACTCATCTCCGAGCGTCACAGGTCAGCGGGACCCTGGCGGACCCCGAAATTCGTCTCGCCGGAAACCGGGAAAAGTTCAGGCTCAGGCCGGGCGCGCCGGCGGACTCTCGGTGTGGAGCGATGCCGCGCGAGCGCCCGATAAAATATTGTTACTTCTGGCTGGAGGGTGGAGTCCTCCCCGCTGCCTTAATCAAAGTTTTCGAGTTCGTCCGTGTACACGAGGATTTTCCGGCTGGAACTTTATGTTATTACCGAAAACTTACTTATCCTTTCGGTATTAAAGCTGAAATGTATACGCACCGCTCCGATCGCACGACGCGACTGGGAGAATGGTAAATGTACAGCGGCACGCGGCCAGCTCGCGCGCCGCCGTCTGACAGCCCTTGTCCTTGTTTTCTACGCGATAAGGGACATTAGAACAGGGCTGAAACCTTTGAAAATGGTAAAAGTGAAAAAATATAGTAGGGTGAAACCCATTGGAAGAGGAGGAGAATACAACAAAAATAAAGGAAAATTAATTTGCGGGCGATCTGAGGTCGGGAAGTGGGACGCGGTGAGTTTTGAGGGTAAAAACAGTGTATCTCAATTTCTGCAAAACTACAAGTCCTATGGAAAAAGTTAAATGGCAAGTTGTAGGTAATAAAAAGATCGAAAAATTCAAATAAATCAAGTTTTGGTTTTTATTTTTATCTTTACAAAAAAAAAAATAATTCACGGATTTTGTGAAAACTTACTTTTTATATCCCAAAGACACTGTAATTTCTTGATATAAAATATACTTATTTTTCAACTTATTTTGACTTAATATTAAAAGCAGCCTAATTTTCAATCGAAAATTCTCACGTCAAAGTATCTGTTTTTAAAAGCCAGTAGGTGTTTTGTTCATTGAAATCTTTACTTTCTGATTGTATAAAAAAAATATACATTACTATGGTAAATATTCTCAGAAAAGGCAAAAAAACGAAAAAGATTCCAATCCTAAAGAACGGTTCAATCTTCTGTTAAAGTAAACGCTTTCATTATTGCCATTTCAAAGAATATCGTTAACGATCGACTGTAAAGATGATATGGAAACTTATTTACAATACGAGCTTGAACCTTTTCGATTCTCAATTTTTACAGGAAATGCCCTCAGGAAAACTGTTAAATCAAAACTTTACGAATTATTTGTGAGTGCGAATGGACCAACGCATTCCGGCGGCATTGGCGTGGCGTCGATTTGGGGTTCTGTACCCTGCACCCTGGTTTGTCGACTGCACTGGCATTTGGTAGAAGAATGAAACGGTGCAGAGAGATCATGAATAAGTATTTGCGCTATGTAGAAAAACGTTACGCAGCAGTTTTTCTACATAGCGCAACAGTTTGGCCGGAAATTGAGATAAACCGTTTTTTACCCTTAAAAACTCACCGCCTTCCACTTGGCGACCTCAGATCACCCGTAAATTATTTTTCCTTTAATTTTTGTTATATTGTCTTCTTTTTCCAATGGGTTTCATCCTATTTTTTTCTTCAAAAATTATCGACCCTGGCCTACGTGTACTTTGTCATCATTTAAATGGTTATAATTGTTAAATTAAGCGTATATTTTTAACGATGGCAAAGGCACAAGGTGGCAACGTTTGATTTTTGGAATCTCATTTCAGGAGCTATTCCCAATAGGACCACTGTGTGATAGGTTGTGCGTGTGCCCGTCACAAGATAGCAAACACATCGCGCTGTATTTACTATAGGAAACAATGCTAAAGAAATTATCAACGTTTTTAGTAACAAATGTATTGAAAATAAATAAATAAAATCTAAAACGTTAGGGGTGTTTAGTCACGTACAAATAAATTTGTTTTTTTTTATTAGTTCCTATATCAAATTATTGAGTTTCAAGAGAGGAACCGTATTTTTATATGGAAACAGCTATATTTTAAGAAGAAAAGCCAAAAAATTGGAGACTGGGTATCGTTTCAAAGAAAAGTTTTTTAAATGTTCTCTCTCTGGACGTTATTCAAGACTGGTCTCGACGTCGCATCGGCCTGGCTACCATGTGCATCAAGGAGCGCAGTGCGCCTGGAAAATGTTATAGTGTTCTAGTAATAGATTGAATGCATAAATCGTAGTTGTCGAGTGACGTGCGGTCGGACGTCGATTGCGCTGCGCCCGCGGCCGACGTCTGCCGTGAACTTAAGGAAAATCGAACTTCTATCGTAGACGATTAATATAAATATTGCGTTTCTACTTTATTCCTTTCCGCGATGGAGGAGGTTCTCGATTCGGTCCTATTTTTATTTTTTGTGTTTCACGCGACCTTTTTATTAGTGAAATGATTTTGAAGATTATTTTTTTGTTTAAAAGAGAGGTAGTGGTACCTTTAGAGGTAATCTCACCAAGCAAGGACCTGATGATGGAATATCGGGGAAATCGAGAGATACCCTCAAATATTACAGACAGATATGGTTTGTTTATTTATTTAGATTTTTTTTTAGTTATCTATTTAGGTCTTTGCGTCTAGGAGTCATCGTCTCATGCAACTAGTGATGAAAGGTACAACACTCTTTGGCGGGTGAAAGTTAGAGAATTGTACTGCGATTCGTGAATAGCAATTAATCTTCAATGGCTACTGATAAACCTTCGAGGTAGGGTTTATTTTATTCGCTTTGAGGAGTCCCATATATGACATTGATATCGTGGGTCTCGCGATCAAGTTAAGAGATGAACAGAGAAACTTTTAAGGGGCTACCAGCACCCCATTGAGATTGGGCTCATTTGTTTTGTTTTGATGTGCCTTAGACATTACACTTTGTGACGGGAGTCTGACGATGAAGTCAGAAGGTGGATATTGGAACTCTTCAGCAGCTACTACCGAGTCCCTTGAGTATGGGCTCATTTGTTTTGTTTTGATGTGCCTTAGACATTACACTTTGTGACGGGAGTCTGACGATGAAGTCAGAAGGTGGATATTGGAACTCTTCAGCAGCTACTACCGAGTCCCTTGAGTATGGGCTCATTTGTTTTGTTTTGATGTGCCTTAGACATTACACTTTGTGACGGGAGTCTGACGATGAAGTCAGAAGGTGGATATTGGAACTCTTCAGCAGCTACTACCGAGTCCCTTGAGTATGGGCTCATTTGTTTTGTTTTGATGTGCCTTAGACATTACACTTTGTGAAGCACAAAAACGACACACGGACCTGCTTCCCTATCGTCGGGACGAAGTTCCTCATAGCGTGTTTCGCTCGGGCGCTCGACGGATGGGAGCTACATGAAAAAAAGTGTAACCGCAACAAAAAATGCTGAACGCTATTGCTTTAATTAACATTTTTATAGACTTGTTTGCCTACGACCACGCTGAATACATCGGTTCTAGTTCGATCATCAAAGTCAAGCAGCGTCGGGCGCGGTCAGTAGTTGGATGGGAGGCCGCCTAGGAACACGTCGTGGTGTTGGATTCTTTTGGCGTTGCATTCCGTTTAAGGTGATTTATAATAAAACTTTAATTATAATTTTTATTACAACATTTCATTACGATGCCTTTATTCATGTTGTTTATTTTTCGTTTCATTACTTTCGAAGATTATTAATTTACTTTATTGCGCTATGTATATATATAATTTATAGTCCTCTTTTTTTCCTAAGGTGAATCCGTGAAACTTTAGGATCGTTTCAGTTCAGTTCTGGAGAGTATGCAGTTTTAAATTTTCAATAAATGAATACATACTTATGCAAATATGTGAAAGTGACATCTATCGTTCATTCCATAATTACATAATTAACAAAATCTTTAATAAATAGAACAGATGGCGATATTTTTTTTTTGAAATTTTAATAATTTGTAAAAAAACAAGTTTATTTACAGCTTACAAATATTTTTTACCATTTTTCACCTATAATTATTATTTATTTAATTCTTTTCAAACGTTTTAATCAATTTCACTGTTATTATTCGATTCCTAAAATACATTTAGACATAGAGAAAGAAACTTTATTTCAACCGGGTGTCCCAAAGACATCTGATTTTGTTTTCCATTTATTTTTAAATGAAATCATTTATAGCCTTTCATGTTATCGTATTAGTTCGTGTGCTTCGTACAGCCGGCGCGTCGCTCTGAATTCAAACGCGTTCGTGCCACGCCGCGCCCCCGCCCGCGCCGGCGCCCGCGCACGTCCGGCCGCTCGTGCGGAGTACGTGCTACGAATGGCATGTTCACCAATACGGCTTATATCGGATTAGCGGAGTTCGCGAGGCGTACGACATAATGGTATGGTTTGTTTTTTATGACTCGTCCGTTCAGCGACATTACGTCTTACTACACCGTCGATACAGAACTAATCACATCGCCAAAGCTTTAAGGGACTGCCGGCAAGTTTGCTGAAACTACATTCCCGAAAACCTTTAATAAAGATTTTTCACTTGACAGTGACTACACAGAAAAATCTTAAATCATACTAGAACAGGGAAAAAGTTTTTTTTTGTATTTTAGAAGTAAAAAGTTTCAGGAAAAGATCTTTAGTCGCGTTGTTTGAATCTGGCTAATTTTGATACCATTAAATACACTTTAAAAGCATAAAAATAAAAAGTAAAAACATTCCGTCATTTTTCGATTCTATTT